CGGAATATCAATTACACTCATAAATCTAGTTTTTGATGGGCTTTAACCTGGTATAAATACTTTCTGATATTATCTGTCCTTTAGGTCGTGTAGGGGGGGAGAAAAAGGTTATGTAACACCCTGTAGAGATTTTTCATAGGGTGCAGAGTAACGTTCCTCCTTTTTACTAAATTCCAAATACTTTAGACCAAATTTTCTTTTCTTCTTTTGTGTTATAACTGCAAACTTCAGAAAAGTGGTGGGAGGAGAGGGTGTAGGCAGTGTGAGAGTGAGTTCGAAGTGTAGTTTCACGCACAACACATTGGCATGATGCAAAACTGTATCACATAATGACTATATTCATCTAGAAAAATTTGAAATACTCAAATTGTCAAACAAAAAACTGACTTTTGCAATAAAAATTTCGGAGATTCATTTCCTGACTTGATCGAAGTCTGAGATCCACATTCCCTGACTCAGCGCGACAAGCTTTACCCAGTGGCGTAGTTTAAAGATCATCGTCTCGACAAAATCATCAGAAAGTTTCCAAAGATCTATTTTAGAAGAGACTGAATAGTTTCTGTTTTTGCGTACAAATAGCTTTTCAAAGGATTCTGGCTTTAGTCGAGAACTACAATTATTTGTTACGAGACGGTTATTTTCTTCACAGGCATATTGTTAGGTAGACAAAAACCTCCTCACGTTTTTCATCCCGTTGTTCACGTTCACATCCTTCATCTCTTGATCATACATTCTTTCTTCATCACACCACTTCTGTCGTACCATTTACTGTATCATTTCCTCACGCAGTTTTACATTCCTTTTTCTATTATTATTACATATATATACATGCCTATATTTTTATGTGGAGGAGGATTGAGTAGTTATATTTTTCTGTTAAATAAACACATGAGGATTATCATCCTCATAATATTGGACGCAGTACATGAAACACCTTGATTTCGATGAAATAATATCACAGAATTTGTTGGCACAAAGAAAGAGATTATGGTACATATTTGTTTTATTCTCAAAATTTTATGTTTGGAAATGTAACAACGCATAGTGAAGACGAATGATATTATCGAAGTATATTTTAAGTGTTGTTTGCATACATATGCATAAGTTTTATCTGTTCTTTTATAATTCTCCTTTTTCTTCGTCGAAAAAATGACTATATACATTATCTAACTTCACTCTTCCGTATAGAGCTATAAAAAGCCGTGAAGAATCAACAAACGGTCACATTCGACGACGATTCAATATCTGTGATCACCACTGCAGACGCATACACGCTAGGATGTGAGTGGACTTGAGCAGATCATTTAACTGTGAGATGTGATATTATTGTGTTTGTTAGGTCAGTAGCTCCAGTTCAGACTCAGCCGCAAAATACATTTCGCCTGACTAGTAACGAAAAAATTTTAAAAACGTACGAATTTCAACGATGTTGTGGTCCGAAAACGACAGTTACGCTCACCGATGCACGCTTCATTGGTCGTCGGGAAGAAGATTGTGGTTGTTGTTGCTGCTGTTTCAATCATCTTGATACATCGATTGCTGTGGATGAGATCCACTTGATGAGCAAAGCTCGATCATCGTATCTACGATGGTTGAATCCTTGCATGTGGCCTCTACTTCTGTGCGAAATATGTGGTTGTTGCGGCTACCCGCTCGAATTGAGAGGAACATTCGGTTCTGAAGTGTTCTTGTTTTCAACAGATGATGCGGCTCAAATCGCTCTGGATATACCGACAGCAGCTCTGTCACTCAAAACCAAGCTGACTCGCCATTGAAACTGTCATTTGACAAACAATCATTTATTTAAAATCTTGGATTGATTGTTTTTAATTTCAGAAGTAGACAGACGCTTGATTTGACAATTATCGTAGAATAAATTAATTATACTCTCTTCATCGTTCCGGAGCGCTGCTTTTTATATACACTTTGATCAGACGTGCGCGATTACAGTTACAAAATGTAAAGTTCAAACATTGCTATTATCTGTAGAATTAAGCATTCTAGTTTCTGAACTTTACATGTATATAAAGTTGAACTTTACTTGTTCAGAATTTTAAAATTCTTAATTCTAGGAGTGAGTGTGAGGATGAGCGTGAATATGCAACTTTACATCTATGTAAAGTTCAGAATTCTACAGATAATAGCAATGTATGAACTTTACATTTTGTAATTGTAATCGCGCAGCCCTCACTTTGATTTCTGTCTAAATGACAGTCATTCCGGTTGAGAATCATAAGCTGAATGTTAAGAGAAGTTTGATGTCAAAGGGAGAAAAACGAAGTTTCCGATTGAACGACGAATAAATTTGCAACATCAAATCTTTTCCTCAAATATGACCAAAAAAACAGGCAACTGATGTTCTCTTGTCGATCTTAACATCTCTGACAAGTATCGAAAAGTAATATCGTACTTACTTCTTTGCATTCACTTTATTCATTTATGAACGTAACCCATTGTATTTCTCACCGTGCTTTCTCATATTTGCGCAATTCTATTCTCAACGCATCCAATACTGAAGTCTTTAATTATTTGAAAAAGATAAAGCCTACCCGTCATGGAAGACTGTCGATCGTAGATTGATGCAGCGATAACATGTCTAATTTGATTTGAACAAAGTCTAATTTGATTTCGAATATATATATGGGTTAATCCATGGGATCCTTACCACTTTGTGGAAAATGGGACAGTTTACCGAGTGTCGATCGTAAGAAATTTTCGTTCAGATTTTTATCAAATCAGGCTCGTCTGCTTACAATGCGACAATTGTTTTCTAACTCTGCTCAGTCGTGTCAAATGTACAGATTAGTGTTTTCACAACCATTTGGAAGAAACCAAAATAGACATCCCCGTTGACTGACGAAAGTGTTGGCATTATTCCGTTTACGCACGTAAAGTTAGCACCAGATTCGTGTATTTTTACCCGCATTCACTTCAGAATCTGGTCCAAGTAGAACTCGACCAGCTCTACAAAAGGGCTTAGTTCATGTAAAAAATGAGCGATCCATTTGAAGGAAAATTTTAATATATCCTCATTTTCACGTATAAAAAACTGACTTTTGCAGTAAAAGCTCCCTAGATTCATTCCCCATTAGGTCCAAGGCTAAAAAGCACAGCGTCAGATAGAACTCGTCGAGACGCATACAACCATGTACTTGTTAAACCACTGTTTCGGCAAATATCTCAGGAAGCTTTTCAAGGATCGATTTTTTCCTGATTCAGCGCGACGAGCTGTATCTAATGGTGTTATTCTGAGAATTTTCCACCTGTAAAAACGTTGGAAATTTTAAGAAAAACCGGTATTAGCCTTGAACTTCAGAAATAAAATATTTCCAGAGTGATTTCGAAATGTGGTCCAAATTGACGTAGTCCAAAAACCGGTCCTTTACATCTGCCCCCACCAGAAAAATGAGGTGCTCCTGCACCGAAATGAAAACAAAACGATATCCAAGAGAGAGAACGAGAAAAACATAATCTAAGAGAAAACAACAAAGCTAAAGTAAAATAAAAATGAGTTTGGACGTCACAATTTATAATTTTTTGTTTAATCGTTTCTTTCGTCGACCTTTCCGTCTTGGGCGTCGTTGAGCCAAACTGATTCGTAATTGTTCTTCCAGATGTGGCGGTATACGGATTTCCATCAATGGTATCTGGTGGACGGTGTGTTCCGCCATCTACTCCTGGTTCTGACCATGTGATTGACGTGTCAATGATTCGCAGTGGCGTCGTATGGGTTTGGTGATCTATTTCGTCCATTCTGGTAGTTGCCACCACAATTGCTGGGCTTATTTCCTCTATCACATTCTCTTCTTCGATGAATAGTTTTAATTCCATGGCAGAAGAAACGAAATGTTATTCACACATCTTCCGAGCTTGTTTCGATGTTTTTATACTACTCAATATATGGCATATGATTTTGACTAATCCAATAATTAATGTGACTCTTATGTAGATAATTAACACTTATATTGATGGAAAAATTTACCTGTCTATCAAACTCGACTTAAATTTAATTATATTTAGTAATTTTACAACCGCCTTCTTAGTTAGTAGAGACTCAGACAGAATTCATTTCTGAAAGAATCAGAGAAGATACCACGACCGGTTTCGACCTTTCTCAAGGGTCTCGTCAGGTGGTTTCCTTAAACAGAGTGGTTTCCTGACAGAGTTAAGACACGACAGGCAACACAAACTCCGTCCACACCGTATGAGGGTGTTACTATTCCTTGTTGTATCTTCTCTGATTCTTTCAGAAATGAATTCTGTCTGAGTCTCTACTAACTAAGAAGGCGGTTGTAAAATTACTAAGTATGAAAAAATTTACATTGATAAGAGAATGAATGTGAGTATGTACATATTTTTACTGTCCGTCTTCTCTCGATTTTTCATTACTCTTTCAGTACTGTCATTATAGGTAGTGGAGGAGTGGCGATGAACTTTTCTCTATTTCTTTTGCAGAGATAGATAATGATCACCATGGTTGTACAGAAGAGAAACAGTGTCGTAGCAGTGTTAGACGTAGCAGTGTTTGGGGGTAACCGAACGGGTCGACAAAGTTGCCGCCGCGTGAGTTGTTGTTGTAGGATATGCTGACTGTTGTGATCGACAAAAAAACCACCTGTTCCGCCACTTTTGCTTGCGCGAGAAGTGCATCGACCATTAGAGGATCTTTTACTCCAATGAGTTGAACCAGTTCCGCATGAAGTTTTGTATAGATGTGCTGCACAAGATCTGCTTCTGTTTCCTGAGGTTTCATCTCCTTCCATAATCCAAGCAGACGTACAATGAATTCACTTACTGATTCGTTGGATTTTTGAACATATTCATGCCACTGTTGTTTCATCTGTGCGAGTCGTAATGGCGATGTAAATTGATCGATGAAAACGTTCTGGAATGTATCCCACGCATCTGGAATTTTTTGTTGAGCCCGCAGTTGTAGGAACCACTCCAAAGCTGTACCTTGCAGAAGTTGGGACATTCCATTTAGGAGTTGTTCTGCATGCCAATCATAGACGATAACCGTATAATCACGTAGACGTAGTAGGAATGGTAGCAGTTTTTCGGACGGTGTACCACTATAGATCGGAAGTGAGTTACGAGCCGGCATAACGATCGTCTGCGTCTCTCCTAGTGGCATATGAGACCTTTGCACAGTAGGTGAGCCATGCGGTGGTTGAGATACTGGCGAGAATAGATTTGAATTCTTCCTCGTATCTTCAACGGAAGTCTCCTCGTTCATCGCAGATTGGGGGCGAGAAGTGTTGCTTGATAAGACGAAGGATGCTTTGAATTGATCGCCCAAGGCAGCGATCGACTTCAAAATTTCGTGCTGTACCAGCTCTGTTTTCGCTATGGACTCACTTACGTCTGCTTGTAATTTTGTCATATCAGTTTGAATTGTCGTTAATTTTTCTGCCATCTCCTTCCCTTTCGACTTGATATCCTCCGTGTCTGCGGCCATGTCGTCCAGACGAACTTTCGTATCATTCGTTAGTTTCTTCATGCGCTCTTTCATCGTTGTTGATTGTATGTTATACAGTTCATATAAATTTTTAATGTGATCAGAAGGGGTTAGATTAAGGAAAGTGTCGACGTTTGGAAGACTGTCCCCGTTGGACATGATGGACAAAGTTGTTATGCCGCAAAAACAGTAAAAGTAACCCTCGATGCGACGAGAAAAAAATTCTTCGTACTAACTACACGTATATAGAGAGAGTGGAATACAGGAGAGAGAATATAATATGGAGTTACCAATGAACAAGAGAGGATGAGAAAGAGAATGAACAGCAAGCGCTGAAGGATTGAAGAAGACACCGGTCCTTTACACTACCGTCACATTGATTAATAGCATAAAATTTTTTCTTCCAACTGCCATAGTTTTTTGGAAAATATTTATTGAAAATTTTGTTCAAAAACCGAAAAATAGGCAGGTGCTGTTTAAAGTGAAAGATATTAGTGAGAAACTTCGACATAATCTGAAACTACACCTTTCACTGTATCGATTTACAAAAGAAATTTTTGTTGTAGCTCTTTGCTGTTCGGAAAAAGTATTTTTCTTCCTACGCTAAGTGGTCACGAAAGCTCGCTTTGTCAATAAAACTCTGGGGAGCTTTTACTGCAAAAGTCAGTTTTTGTGTGTGACAATTTGAGTATTTCAAATTTTTCTAGATGATTCGTTCCTTTTTAAAATTATTTATGTTATTTTGTAGAGCATATCGAGGTCTATTTGACATACATGTCGAGAGCGCTGTGCCGTTACGACTTTGAAAAAGCGTGCACGCTCCACGGCGTTCTAACTAAAAACGCAGCTCAACGTCTTTACGCTTTTACGTCTTCACAAGAACCTCATCGTTTTTACTGAACTACTCGATGTTTCTCCATCAGAACTTCATCTTTTTTCATGAGAAAGTCAATGTTTTTCTCCAAGTGCTTTATCTGTTTCCTGGGAAACAAAGTCAATGTTTCTCGACAGGAACTTTATCTTTTTTCCTGAGAAACTCGATATTTCTTCACCAGAATTTAGTTTTTAGTTGAGGAACTCGATATTTTCCCACAAAAACTACAACATTTTTCCTGAAATACCGATGTTGCTCATACCATTTTGTAAAATTCTGCAGGTTTTAGCAAAATTCTGAGAAATCTGAGAGAGTTTTAACGATTTTCTTGCAGAACTACGTGGTATTTCACAAAATTATGGTTTAATCCCCAAAACTATTTCGACTTCATCCTATGTTAGGTCAGGTCAGGTTATGTGGAAATCCAGTATCAAGTATATTTATTCTCTCAAACTATGGAACGAGTTTACAACTCTCCTTTTTCAGTTTACCAGGAGTGTAGCGCCTGTCAAAGTGCATTGCAGGACGCAGATCCGCAGGAAAACAGCGAGGAGTAGCATTAAAATTCACATAACCTGACTTGACCTAACCTAGGATGAAGTTGGAATACATATACAGTACAGAAGAGAAACAGTGTCGTAGCAGTGTTAGACGTAGCAGTGTTTGGGGGTAACCGAACGGGTCGACAAAGTTGCCGCCGCGTGAGTTGTTGTTGTAGGATATGCCGACTGTTGTGATCGACAAAAAAACCACCTGTTCCGCCACTTTTGCTTGCGCGAGAAGTGCATCGACCATTAGAGGATCTTTTACTCCAATGAGTTGAACCAGTTCCGCATGAAGTTTTGTGATGTCAGTATACAAAACATACACAAGGCGAGTTGTTTGGACATTAAAATTTGACATGCGAAATTTGACTTTCTTGTTTATTGCAATGTGCTATGTTATGCACAATTACATTGCATTTCACAAAACTCTGATTTATTCCACAAACTTCTAAGAAATCTTGGAGAGTTTTGAGAATTTTCTTGCAGAATTACATTATATTTCACAAAATTCTGAAAATATTTTGCAAAATTCTGATAGGATTTGGCAAAATTGTACAAGTTTCGGCAAAATTCTAAAAGCATTTTGGAAAATTCCGAAACGATTTGGGAAAATTTTGCCAAATCCTGTCGGATTTTTGCAACATACTTTCAGAATTTTGAGAAATACAATGTAGTTCTGCTACAAAATTCTCAGAATTTTGCTAAATGCTATCAAAATTTTGAGAAGCATATTCAGAGTTTTGCTGATTAAGCCAGAATTTTGTGAATTACATGAGTAGAATTTTGCCAAATCCTATCAAAATTTTCAGACTTTTGTGAAACACAGCGTAATTCTACAAGAATAGTCTCAGTATAGTCTCCCAGACTTCTCATAACTTTGCCAAATTTTGTGAAACACAACGTAATTCTACAAGAATAGTCTCAGAATAGTCTCCCAGACTTCTCATAACTTTGCCAAATTTTGTGAAACACAGCGTAATTCTACAAGAATAGTCTCAGAATAGTCTCCCAGACTTCTCATAACTTTGCCAAATCCTATCAGAATTTTGCAAAAGATTTTCATAATTTTGCGGATTAAACCAGAATTTCGTAAAAGGCAATGTATGAGAGTGACTCACGAGACAAAATTTTAATGCTGCCTCTCGTTACTTTTCTGCGGATTTGCGGACAATACACTTTGACAGGCGCTTCAAGCCTGGTAAACTGAAAAAGGAAAGTTATAAACTCGTTCCACAGTTTGGGAGAATAAATATACTTGATACTGGAATTATCAGAAATCTAACAGATATCTTTACTTTGGATCTGCCACCGTGTAACCAACGAATTATTTGATAAGTAGCAGCCAAATTAGTTTCTCTATTCCCTCGTTGTACCTCCGAGGAAGGGGATGTTGGTGTTTACTTTTTTCCTAAAAAAAGGCTGTGTCTGAGGCTAAAAACCGCATAGGTCTTTGTCACTTTTATTTCGATAGTTTTTTAAGAATTATTCCGAGTTTCTTTCTTTTTTTCTGAAACAGAGGCAAGTTTTCCTTTTAATTGAAGCTACCTTGAATAATAATAAGTACACTCTAAAAAAAAGTCGTAGATTAATAAACTGCAATAAAAGAGTTTTTTGGACTAAACAGCTGATCAAAAAACCCAAAAGAGTCTTTTAATAGGTTTTTTAGGCCAAAAAACTAAAACGCGTTCGTGGTCATTTCAAAATGAAAAACTCAAGGTTTTGGGGAGAGTTTTTTGAGTTTAAAAAACTCTTTAAAAAAACTAACAGGGCTTTTTAAAGTGATTTTTAGGCCCAAAAAACCACCCTTCCACATGTAATTCACTGAATTGTATTGTTGCTGCATACGTTCTAGAGGACGAGTGTCGTGATCGTAGTTTAACTTGGAGTAGATCAGGTGCTGTATGACATATTTGAACTTGATAATCAATGACTCCGGTAAGGTCTTGATCTGACGCATATTCTTCAGCGTAGCTTCGAGCTTGTTTCAATTGGAAAACACTTAAAAGTAAAGAGCACGAACGTTTTCATGAAATACTACTTCCGTACGGAAATGAAAGAGCCTAAAATTGTGTTTTTATCAACCTAGAGTTATTGGTCTTATTTGCTCTATTGTTAATTTTGGAAAACTCATCATTTCGCTCGCATCGACACCTGTCCCAGAATATCTATTTTCATCGAGTCGTTGCTTCAAGAAGTTCTCGTCCTAGTTTCATTAACCGAGCAATCGTCATTAGCGAGCGATGGTATGATCATTGGTGGTCGAAATCGATTAATGAGAGCACATACTATATGAAGATATCCTTGGAGAGTGGGAATGGTACTATTTTGAATTGTTTGATTAAAATATTTTGAATGCTTTAAATGACCGTTCACACTCTCTACTACCCATCTTCGTGATGAAACGTGTTTCGTTTGCTTCCAGTGTATCGAACTGTCGACGACCGTTCAAAAACGATGGTATAGCTACATTCAATCCAAGTGCCTCCAAGACGACAACCGAATCCCGAAAGTCAAGATGAACAAAAACGATGCCATTCTCTCCAACACAGCGTAGAATATCATCAACATTGGGCAACATAATGGTTTTCAAAATAGACGCTTCATTATTGTGAAAATCCGACAAATAAGATCCCAGAACAGTAAGAATATAGCCAGTGGTGGAAATGATAACCATAGCTTTTACGAGGGAACGGTGTTTATGAAGGTTATACGTTCTTCGTTGAAATTCATTATTACGGCTCTTCTTTAGAATCAAAAGAAAACGTTATGGCATATATTATCTTTAATTAAATCAATGATCATTCAAAACATCTCTAGGATTCCCGTATCAAAAAGAATTATGCTACATCGTGAGTGCTTTTACCTCATGGGTTGGAGTAAGAGCATACTGCCCAGACATTGTATTTTACCATTGAATGTCTAACTACATGGTATAGCGTATATATAAATATGTGTCATCTATTACCAAAATACCAATATCTTTACCATGGGCGAACAATTCCTTAGCAATTGATGACGTATGATTATCGATAACTTGATAACGTGTGATATGTTTGAGACCAAAATTATCAGGAACAAAATGAGTCATAAGGGCTAATCTGGCATTCGCTAAAACATGTGTGACGGCATTTTTGTCGGACAATTCGAGCACAGTTGCCAGTACTTCATTACTTGATCCCAAGCGTAATTTGCACAACAAACAAACAATGACGCTTCGGACAGTACAGGTTTTGGTATTTCTCAATTCTGAATCTTTTAGATAATCCATTAGTATGTTAAAATTCGATTGAGTAAGTCCGGTCAAATTGAAATAGTCGATATCGCTGAGAGATGAGGGATTTTCGAAGTCAAATCGTTTTGTTGAATGTAATGTTCTCAAATATTTTGTTTATGTCTGGTGTTGAAAAACGGATAATATCGATTTTGTACGGACGTAATTTAGACATAGCATCGCTGATGAGACAGTGGTTTTCGACGTGTTTTGAGCAGCATCGAGTTTCAAGTGGTATAACGATATTTTTAACAAAAAAAACACGCTCTCGTTCGCTCTCAGATATTGTCACAGAGAAAAAAGTCAAGA